AGTGCTCCCTCACTTCCCATGCACATATCATCTGTGCTCAGACTCGTCTCAACCTGTGCTATGGAGGAATCATAGGTAGTTGAGACTTGTGTCTTGACTTTATTAACAAAGGAGCTAGTACTATTACAATGATCAGTTTGGCTTCTCTCTCCTTGATGGCTTCATTCTCTGCTCAGTCCACAGATCCTTTTCCTTTGAGGTCAAAGGTAAACATCACTATAGGGACAGGATAACCAGAGAGTCTGTAGACTCCAGAACACCTTTTTCCAGATGTACCGATACGTGTTCAGAGGTAAAGGTACATAGGTAACTAGTGGAGTGCATCTATACAGCAGCTCCCTACTCCCTGCCTATCAGCAGCTCTGCTAATGGTAACTGGTGCCAAACAAGACTTCTGTTGCACTGCCTCCTTCTGCATTTATTCAGTCAATTTAAGGTTACACCATCCCAGCAGACACATTACTTCCTTTGCTGTGCTGGCTAAGTCTTGGAATGATCATAGACAATTGCTGGAGGAGCAGCAGATTATGTGTCTGCAATCTGCTCCCATTCACCCATGTCATTGCTACAAGGAAGAGAATTAGTTGGGAATTACCATGTCTGTTGAGATACTACCAACTACTGGGACTAATTCTCTCCTTATTCTCCACACCCACACTTTTATTAGCATCTTCCATTGCATTAAAGTTTATTGCTTGCAATAAGTTTATTTAGCAATGCTTTTAATCAGCTAAAGAAAAATATCATTTATCAGAATAAAGAAACACAAGGTTTTGAACATTTATGACTAATATATAATTATATATTATTATAATTGTAATAATTATAGATATGAAATATATAATTATATATTCTATATGCACAGTTATTTAATTATAAGTTATATTCTACATAATTATAATGGTTAATTTTATAAAAAATCTTAGCCTTGTTGCAGGTGTAGTAATAAATTTGTCATGGTGTCATCTTACGCGCACTTAGATATGCCCTGTAAGTCACACAAAAGGCCAGGATCCATTTGAACTCTGAGGGAGGAAGAGAAAACTGCTGAAGCTGATGAACAACCATGTTGTTTCTATAAACACTGATGTTATTATGGCAAGCTTTTAAAGACATTGGGCTTTGAGGAGGAATAAAGAGGGAAAATGAAGGTAAGATATCCTTTTGTGACAGATCTATTTATTTATCCACATTCTGAGACCCATTAGAGGGACATTTTCTTCGAAGGAGTTTGACAGTAAACTTAGTGAAAGAACAAATAAAACTCTGCTGTGGGTTGTTGTGGGTTTTTTCCTTGCAATTCAGCACAACAAAATAGTAGCTGCTTCCAAAAAAACACGTTGACTTGCAGTCCAATCCATGCTGATTATCTACAATGATTAGGAAGGGTTTTTTTTATACACTGTATTTTTGCTGCCCTCAAAAGTAGGAGGGTTTCTTTGAGCACTGGGTGTCTAGGCTTGATGGATTCACAGGCAAACCTTACATCCCCAGTGCTGAGGGGATATCAACACCAAGACATTCTGCCTTTCTTAACTGAGCGCTAGGGGACAACCAGGTGGCAGCTGAGCTGAGAAATGCTGCAGTGCTGGTAGGTCAAGGTACTGAAAGTTCCATGCAGCAGCTGGTATCAGTTCTGAACAGACTGTTTCTTTTGAGAAAAGACAGACGTTAAGTTCCTAACCAGCTATCAGGGAGTACCACTGTCCTGCTTGATCTGGATTCAAGGAAGAAGCAAATGAAATAGCAAGTGACTGGGACATCTAGCAATTTGTTGTGTCCCAGGTTTATGCAAGAAGCAGAGTTTGTAATTCAAACCACTGAGACTTGCTGGTGAGGTGCAATGGAGATTAAACTGCTTTAGAAGAACTGTAGTGCATGAAGTTGGCTGTGACTATTTCCCCAGTATTAGAGATGGACTCTTGTCATGATCAGTGGTCACATCTCATTAATCTTGGTGACTCTATCATCTTAATAAAGCAGTTTATTTTTTGTTCTCAGATAGCAAGTTGGAAGGCTCCTCCATTAGTGGCAGTTTACCAACATCAAAAGCAACCTACGTAGTCTCTTGGAAAGTGCTAAATCATGTCGAGGTGATTTTCACAGGGTGCACAGCGGCTTGTACTAAGATGAATGACTTAATATGCAATTATGGTAATTGTCTGGGCATACCTGAAGGGTTTGCTCTGTGGGTAACACCTTGCCCTGCATTAAAACTACTCTTTTTTATAAAATTTCCCAAAACCTGTTGGGCCTCAGAAGTCATCTGCCACCTATCCCTTCATCCTTGGTGTTTTTCTCCAGGCACCTGATTAGTGAAGACCAGGCTGCCCAGGGCACCTTCACCTGGTGACCAGTTCCTGGGCATAGTTCAGATCTTCAGGAATTAGGATTGCTAGGAGACCACAAGAGTGTAGACATATATAATGGATGAAAGGATGTGAATTCATTAGAATAAAACACATGCTGGGTATCAGGAAAGGTGTGCTGCCCAGGAGCTCTACGACAATATAGAACAGTCTCAGAAGTGAAGACCTGAGTGCTGCTGGAGTGGCTGGAGAAGGGCAGGATGGAGGGGGTGTTACAAACATGTCTGTGGCCATCCTGTGTGCAAATGAGACCCATAACGTTTTGGGACTTCTCTTTAACACAAGCCAGTGCCACTGGATTGCACGTCTACTACAAATGAAGCCCATGCAACAGTTCAGCAATATTGCAAGTTTTGCTGCTGTATGAGGCTGCTGTATAATGCCATTAATAATGCTCACCAGACTAATATACTGAGGCATTCTTCCCAAATTATAATGTGTTCTTACATTAACATAATGCAGTCATTTATAAGAGAGAGAGAGGGAGGGAGGGAGGGAGGGAGGGAGGGAATTCATTTCACGTCTGCTGGGGCAGACAATTACAAATTGCAGAAGGGCTGTGCAAGTAAGGAGGGAGACTGGCTAAACTATTAACAAGCCTCCTGAGCTGATCCTGTACCTGCCTTGCTCTTGCTTTCACTTGTGCTGAGGCCCCTTTGTTGTTGTAGCTAGGCAGGGTTTCGGAAGTGCCATGGTGCCGCCCACACTGAAAAATTGCAGACACTAATAATAAACAAGAGAAGACAATGGTGAGGAACAAGCACTGCTGCTTGGCCCTTTGCTCAGCCATGGCAAATGCACCGGGCAGCTTGCAAGAGCTCCTTGACTCCGTGCATGAGGGAAAAGCTGGCGGCATAAAAGAAAGGCTGGCAGCTGCACCTGCATGGGAGACACAGAGCCCTGTTTGCAGCTTGGAAGTGAATGCAGATACGTAGGGAGTTTCCTTTCAGAAAGGAAATATGAGTCTGGTCAGTGACCTTGGGAGTCTCTTTCTTCATTGCCCTCCCACTTACAGTAACCCATCTTTGCCCAGCCTCTCGTTACTCTAGCATTGGCTTTGAAGCTTTGGATTTGTTCACATCTGGGATCCCCAAGTGGGAGATCAAAGCAAAATAAAAGAGATGAGGCAGAGCTGTGAAAGCAAATCAATGTTTCAGAGGAAATGAGAACTAAAGAAATCATATACATTGAGTAAGCCAGACCCATGTTACAGACCAAACTGGTTGGCCAGAATGTCCTCTGGAACACACGGAGATGTCAGATTTTGTTTCTCAAGACAACAGACTTGGTGTATAGTTGGTGCTGAGACGTTAAGGACCTTTCAGCTTCCCATGTTTTGCCAGTGTGCAGGAGCACAACAGGCTGGGGGGGAGCATGGCCGGGACAAAGAGCCCACAATTCCTCTTATGATTTGAAGTTAGATTCAGGAGTGAAGGCCTGTTGTACAAGTTGGCTGAACGCTGGAACCTACCCCTGGGAATGTAAAAGGTTTGGGGCCACTGTGGTTGTGTAAGCTGTATATAAGCTCCCAGAATGATATCGTGGCCAAAAATACCAATCTGATCCTTGAATGTAAAGACACCATAAAGTCAGGAATAGATGGATGTTACCACTGGTATACTTGGCACTCCTTTTGCCAGTGCTGGAATATTGAGTCTTGTGTTGCAGTACCAAGAACAGTACTAAAACTGGCTGGTAGTAAAAACTGGTGCTAAAATGGTTAGTAAATGGGGTAAAGTTCAGAGATTTTAGAATGATTAAATGATAGGAAGCATGACGTAGTAAGACATGAAGACCATCACCTATTTCACATAAAAGACAAAATGAAGGGACGACCTGAATACAGCCTGTGAGTACCTGCACAGTTTGGAAGATTGCCTCCAATTCAGCAGACAAAAGTTTAACAAGACCCAGTATCTGGAATTTGGAGCTAGGCATATTTAGATCAGCAATAAAAGACACCTTTCTAAGGCAAAGGGCAGGGACCATCTGGAGAACCTACCTCTAGTGATGCTTTGCTAAGAGAAAGCCACTAGCCTCTATTACACACCAGATCCAGTACTCTCATTGCATGATGATCTCTGGGTTTCCGGAGCTGAATTCAGATACCCTTGAACCAACTCAAGGCCTCTGGGATCTGAGTACCTTATGCTCTAATTGATGCCATTGGTATTACAATTATATTTTTCTCATCCTTTTGATGTTTTCCCAGAAACCCCATTGTTACAATATCTAAATTCAATTTTTAATGAGCACTGAGATGTCAGTATGATTTTATTACATCCATTCTGAGGGGTTCACTAGGGAGGAACAAAGCAGGTCTGGTTGCAATTAAGTATGAACTTTTTGCTACAAACTAAGCCAGAACATTGATCCTTTGGGGAAGCTTGAACAAGTTCAGTTAACTTCCCACAGCTCCTTTCAGATCCTTCTACTTGCCTGAACGGTTGCTGTTGAACCTGGCAGCACAAAATCAAAGCTTGAGAAATCTTGCTTTCCAAACGTAGCAGGTCTGCAAGGATTCCCTGCCCCCTGACTGGTTATCTCTGGGCAAGGTGTGGATTTTTGTCTGAGCAATAGCAAGTGTCTGGGAATAACACCAGTGAGCTAATCTGTTCTTTCTCTCTGCAGTGCCTACACCGAGCCCTACAAGGTGTGCCCAGTCTCTGCGATACCAATGGAGGTCGTCACATCAGATGAGGAACAGAAGAGTTCAGAAGATGAGGAGAACAGCCCAGGTGATCCCAGCCTCATCAACAAGGTAAAAGAGCTGAAAAGGGGGAATGTGTGAAACCTGGAGAGGGACAAACAATTTGCAGAAGAACCTGGATTCTCAGCTCTCTCTGCTCTTTGCCTGGTGCTCGTTTAGAAATGTCAGAGCCATCAATCCTTTACTCCTGCAGTCCACTAGCAACAATTTACCCCCATAGCATGTGGCAAAGCCAAAGAACTGCAGTCCTAAGATGGACAGTTGAGGCAACATAGCAGTAAAAGTCTGACTTGAATGTCAGGAAGAATGTCTTAGAAGAAGGATTTAACTGCAGTGTTGCAAAATTTAAAACTACATTGAATAAAACAATGACACATACATTATTGAGACCAGTTCTGCATTGGCGAGGAGATGGAGTAAATTATCCAATAGGTCTCTGCCATCTTGAAAGTCTATCATCGTGGGAAAATACACTTGTGTTTGGGTTTATTTTACTGACTTCTCATGAATAAAACAGCTCTTAAACAAATTATGGAGAAGACCGTAGAAATGTGACCACAGCCTAAGAGCATACAAGGCTGTTTTAACCTCCAGTAAGCTGACTAGTAGTGCAGTTGTTAAAGAAATGGCCTTGAGCAGTTTTAGGCATATCTTTGTTTTTCATATAATTTGTGTGTGTGTGTGTTCTTGAAACCTAATATGAGTCTAACAATCTAACGTTGTGTCTCTGAGTACAAGCACGCACTATGTAGCCCATTCGGTATGCATGCAACAAATTGGTATGTTCTTCTGAAGTCTTGCAATTTGAGCCCAGGAACTAAGGCTATACAGGAAAAGAGCAAATCCCAGTTTCCTACCCTTCTCTCTGCCATTCATTTTGGCCTGGTCTCCCAGTGTCAGCACAGCTATGTGGCTTCTTGATTGTAGATAACTTGTGTCTGGTCATGGGCACATTTCAAAGCCTGCAAAAGTTTGTGCAGATGCCCCTCCAAAACCAAACGATGGTTGAGTAAGGGCCAACTCTGTCAAGGAGAAGCATAAGTATATTGATTCTAGGAAGATCAGGTCTCTTCAGGCATTTCCAGAATGTGAAGCTTTGTTTAGAGGCAGATGTAGAGAGAGGGGAGCAGAATTTTCCCTTACCAGGATACCAGTCTTGAGTTTCTTGAGAAACAGAAAAAGAAACTGCAAGCGGAATGACAGTGAAGGGCAAATTAAATTGCTGTAGCTCTAATCTCTGAGGAAGAATAGGTTCCTTTGATTTCCCTGTATGCTGTATCACTTTTAGGTCCACTCTGCAGAGTGTTGAGCTGCCTGTGGTACCAGCGAAAAAGACTATGGCTGGATCTCCTTGCTGTCATGAAACAAATCAAACAGTTGCAAGCAACCTTATCTTTTTTCCTCTGAGATTCATGAAATTGTTTTGGTTGGTCGTTTTCACACTGTTTTGGAAAGAGAAAAGCCTTTAAATTTCTGAGTTTCCCTGTTAAATGAAAAATATTTTTCCTTTCAGTTCTTCTAGTTAGCCCTGTGTGTCCCAGCTGTCCCCAGGATCCAATCTGTTAAAGGAAACACCTAACCTGGGCAGTCAGAGGCCACCTAGAATCAGGACTCTCTTGCCACTCTATAACAGCTTCAACATCACTGCTGCAGGCTGTGGGAAGCAATAGTCAAAAGATGGCCAGGGAATACCCAATTTCCTCGGGAAAACGGTCAGTGCAGGGTTCTGACATGAAGGATGCAATATATTTAACTGTAGTCTTTCACCCATGCTAGCCACAGATTAATAGTGATACGGGACTCTTCCAAGGTCTCATGCAGCCCATGCTGCAGATTCTCTGTCAGAGACAAGGGCTTCCAGTTCATTGTAATTAAGAGTGAAGGGGATCAATTCCATCTGTCTGCACCTCTTGTCTCAGAAAGCACTGATGTCTTTACAGAGAACTGACAGAGGACTGTTTTTCCTACCCTACTGCTCCTGACTCCTTTTATTGTCTTCTCACACAAATCTTCTGGGTGCCAAAGGAACAGTAAGCTGCCCTGTCAAAACCTGTCTCTGTAAAAGAACAAACTCGTCCAGCTCCCCAATGAAGTGATGTATCCCTTGGAGCAAAATCCTCAGGCCAACACAGAGTGGCTGTACAACATGAAAGAGTTCAGAAGCACTGTCACTTGGGGAGAGTTGGCAGAGAGGTTTTGGTCTGAATGCCAAATACAGTACTATGGATTTCAAAATGAGCTAATCTTGTTAAAACAACTGTTTGGGGCTGGCCTACTAAGAGCTGAATTTGGATTTTAAAAACCACATACACACAAAAAGAACCCTCTGGTGTTTGATGGTTTGATTTCTGTTTTTCTCCCCCTCAGGGAAACTTAGTTTAAATTCAGGCATGAAACAGCCTAGATGATAAAATCTCCTCCCTGTGTTCAGATATATGATTTTCATTTGCATTGAACTGGATTCGACCTGCTGCTTTCACAGTCATGAATGAAGTCCTGTACCAAAACGCATGCGGCACGCTTTAGTTTTTCTCACATGCTTTCTCCGAGCCTGCTTGCTGGATAATCGCAAGACATCCAGTGGCAGCAAAATTTTTTCCTCTGATGTTTCTTTTTAAGGCTCTTTTTAAAAAGTAAATATAATTTTTAAAATAAGCTTTGTACACACATTTCCTGGCATTGTTTCAATAGCTCGTCTCCTTTGAATCCCTGCTCTCATGGGGCCCAGATTCACACAAGTGCGGAGAAATTTTGAGGGCCTACTGGAACCCGTGTTCTGTATTTGAATCATAGCCAATAATATATTTGGGTATATTGAGGTATTTTTTACATTATCAGCTTTATTTTAAAGAGCAAACAAAGAGAGCCTTTCATCTCTATTGTGTTACAGGAATTTTTATTACTAAAAAACTATTTGGAATGGGGCAGGTATAAAAATGTAAAAACAGGAGGTAAGTTTCAACTTTTTGCCTTTATGCCACTGGGAGTACCTCAGACCCTGAGAAGCTGAGCATTTGTCATCAGAAGTCACCTGGTAGTTTTGATTCTTCTGTATTAGACTAACATTGAAAATTAATTCTTTCTGGTTAAATAAGCACTTTATTTCCTTCTCTTCAGTCTGCTGGCATTTGATAACAACTTAGAGAACTCACAGGCAGGGAATGCTGTAAGTTTTCTTAACCTTTGTGATTCTACATGGTTTTATTATAAAAAGCCATGCCCTTCACTTACACTACTGATGGAGATTCACTCTTTTTTTTCCTCCTGCTAAGCTAATTTAGAAGAGCTTCTGGGCCATCTCTCATTCATGTGTCTTTTATATATGTTCATTTAATTAAATCCCTCCCAATTTATCAGAAGGTGACACATGGCTTTTCTGTACTGGGCTCTCAAGGTTATATGATGGCATCTGAGCTGCCTACAGAAAAAAAAATATTGGAATTAAGGATTCCAGTTAGGAACAAAAAACTTGCATCAAGTAAAATAAGGGCTTTCTCTTTATCTCCTGCCTCTGAACGTTCACTCACTAGACAAATGCTCAAAGTCCGGAAAGTAGAACTCCAGATTCTTCCTGTCATCATTGAGCTAGATTTAAACCTGAACTTCATGATTTTTTGTTACTGCTAAAAACAGGTAAGTCCATCTTAGACCCATTCAGCTAAGGAGCATTAAAGGAATTAAAGGAGAAATGAGCTTAATAGTTCAGATTTGACTAGACATCAACTTCAAAATTAGTTCCATTTGGCAGAACTTAGTTTTTGTAGCAGTCTCAGAATTTCCAGTTTCAAAGAGAAGATCAGAAACAGAGACAATATAATATTGTAAGTCTACTTTTGACAAGGTCAGCTGCATGCTTTGAAATGGACTGAAATGAACACATGCTGGTAAGTTTCACCTATTGCTGGTTACAATCTGAATTTTTGAATTGCCTTGGTAGTTTGAGGAAGATGCTGCATATGCTGGATCATCAGTTACCCCTAGTGACAGAATCTTTAAGCAAGAGTCTTCAGACAGTTCCTTTCTTGTGGGTTCTTTTTAAGACTGGTTCTTCTGGCCAGTTGACCCTTTTTATCACTAACCTCCTACAACCTCCAGTTGCTACAAAACTGAAGGGAGCCCCAAGACAATTCTTTTACCACACCTAACCCACTGCCTGGGTGAAGATAAAGACCGAACAGGGAGGAGTGATTTTTATGCTGGATCCAGAGAAGAGAAAAAAAGATCTGATGCATATTAGACCTCAAACTTGAAGGCAAGGCAGAAAGCTAGGTGCTAGCCGTTAGGTTCATTGTGGGAACATCCAGCCTTTCACGGGATTCACTGAGATGATAGTATCAGGAATGCATCTGCCTTCCTATCACTACGTTAACAGTTCTGCTTGGGGAAGTAGGTTAGGCTGGGGAAGGGCAAACACCTGTGGGACAAACCACAGCAGGGAGATGCAGCAGAGGCCCCATGGTAGCATGAAAATTTTCTGAAGAAATACACGGAGATGAAGCACAGGTTTGGGGTTTTGTGGGGATGGTTAAGGGGCAGGAACCCATCTGCCAATTTAAGAATTCATTTTTCCAGCATCTTGTGCAGATGGTCCTGTAACAACACTATAAAATGTGTTGCCCTGGACTGGGCTTCAAGAGTTACTTCCCTGCTTGATTCAGACTGTGTCACACACATGCTAAAGGTATGCTGATCAAACAAAGTAACAGGCTTAAAAATAACACCAATAGTCAATGGAGGGCATTTAGATTGCCATCAATGGCACAATTCGCACCACAGTGATGAGAGGCTGTCTTCCTTTACAGAGTGCCTTTGGAAGAAGAAAGCAGTGGCTGGGTAAAAGGGGTGCTAGGAATATTGCAGCAACATCAGCTGTTTTAAGAACTCTGTTATAGCTAGGAATGACATAGAGCAAACCCTACATTAATACACTAGGAAAAGGAACAATTAGAAATGCTCTCTTAAACCTGTCTCTAAACACAAGAAGGAGTTTGATCTGAACAACCGAAGGGAATATCATAAGAAGAATAAGAAAAGAATGTGATTAATCTGGG